GGTCGCCCACAATCTCACGGTGTTGGAGGGCGTGCTGAGTTCTCTGTTGAGGTGTTCTCTCGCATTCTGCTTGTAGTGCTCTCGGGATGACGCTGTGATGCTCACATGTGTTCACTGAGTGCATAGCTTCAATTGTGGGGCTCACACACACTTGGCCGAGGTGCACCAGAAATAGCATGCTTCCACCTGGGGGGCCCCAATTGTAGAGCTCCTGGGATTACATTCAGCACACGTGGGAGGGACCAAGAGTCAAACTCAGGCCTCACTCTTGAGAGGCCGCTGACCACCTCTGTGCTATCTTGTGGGCCATCCTAGTGTGTGTGTGTGTGTGTGTGTGTGTGTGTGTATACATATATATATTGCTTTTTCAGGGTCAGGGGAAAGAGGACCATCATTGTCACTGTTTTTTGGCATATTGAGTACACCATGGGTAGCTTGCCAGGCTCTGCTGTGTGGGCAGGATACTCTTGGTAGCTTGCCAGGCTCTCCGAGAGGGATGGAAGCTTTTGGGGCAGCCTCTAATCACCTTTACAAGTGTTCCCAGTCAGGCATATATGTGCGCAGGTTACGAATGGAGACGTTACTGGTGTGCGCTCGAGCAAATCGATGAATTTGGGGGACCATATGGGATGCTGGGGCCTTAACTCAGGTCAGTGACTTGCAAGGCAAGCGCCTCACCCACTGTACTACCTCTCCAGTCCTTCTTTAACCACTTCTTTACAATTATTATCTGGGGCCAGAGTGAAAGTACAGAGGGTAGGGCATTTGCCCTGCACACGGCCGACCCAGGTTTGATCCCCATCATCACATATGGTCCCCCAAGCACCGCCAGCAGTGAATCCTGAGTGCAAAGCCAGGAGTAATCCCTGAGCATCGCTGGGTGTGACCCAAAAAGCCAAAAAAATAAAATAAAATAAAATAAAATAAAATAATTATCCAACACCCATCTCTTTGCAAGTGTGACAAATGTCCCTAGTTTCCCTCCTATGCCCCCCCACCTCCAATGGGGCAGACACTTTTCTGTTTAGTTTGTTTTGTTTTTCTTTTTGGATCACACCCAGGGATGCTCAGGGGTTACTCCTGGCTCTGCACTCAGGAATCACTCCTGGTGGTGCTCAGGGGCCCATATGGGATGCTGGGGATTGAACCCGGGTCAGCCTCATACAAGGCAAATGCCCTACCCACTGTACTATTGCTCCGACCCCATGGCAGACACTTTTCCTATCTCTCTCTCTCTCTCTCTCTCTCTCTCTCTCTCTCTCTCTCTCTCTCCTCTCTCTCTCTTCCTCCTCCTCCTCCTTCTCCTCCTCCTCCAACCCAGGCACTGCGGTTTGCAATACAAGTACTAAAAGTTTATTATGTATATTCCTTTGCTTCCTTTCAGCACTCAGTTCTCATCCAGAGTGATGATTTCTAACTATCATTGTCATAGTGGTCCCTTCCTTGTCATAACAGTATCTCCCCACCCCCTGACTTGTGACAAACTCCCAATCATGGTCTAGTCTTCCTGGCCCTCATTTCTACTGTCTTTGGGTATTATTCTCATACTTTTTTTTAATATCCTGCAAATGAGTGTGATCATTTAATGTCTGACTCATTTCACCCAGCATGATACTCTCCATGTCTGTTCATATATAAGCAAATTTTCATGACTTTATTTTTCCTAATGGCTGTTAGTATTTCACTGTATAGATGTACCATAGTTTTTTGTTGTTGGCTTATTTTTTAATTTTTTCTTTTTAATTTTTGGGTCACACCTGGTGATGCACAGGGATTACTCCTGGCTCATGCACTCAGGAATTACTCCTGGCGGTGCTCAGGGGACCATATGCGATGCTGGGAATCGAATCTGGGTTGGGCACATGCAAGGCAAATGCCCTACCCACTGTGCTATCACTCCAGCCCCTAATGTTTTTCTTTTTGGGTCACACCCGATGATACTCAGGGGTTATTCAGGGGTTACTCCTGGCTCTGCACTCAGAAATTACTCCTGGTGATGCTCAGAGGGACCATATAGGATGCCGGGGATTGAACCCAGGTCGGCTGAGTGCAAAGCAAACACCCTCCCCACTGTCCTATTGCTCCGGTTGCACGTAACCACCACCGCCAGCATCTCCACAACTCCTTCAAGTTCCCAAACTGAAACTTAGTCACTGTTAATCAATTCCTCCACTTCCCCGTCCTTCCCAGCCCGGGCAATCACCTTCCATTGTCTGTCTCCTTGAATTTGGCTGCTTGAGGTTCTTCCTGTAAGTGGAATCATGAAGTGCTTGCCCTACGTGATTGGTGGATTTCACCCTGCTTCTTGTCCTCAGGGTTTATCTATGCTGTGGCCTGTGTCAGAGAGCCTTGGTGCTGATGATGTTGGTTTTTGGGTCACGCATGGCAGTGCTCAGTGTATACTCCTGGCTCTGTGCTCAGGGCATATTAAACATGTGCTCTACTCCTTGACCTATGTCCCTAGCCCTCAATGGCAGGGTTCAGAGGACGATAAGGGTTCATATGCGGACCATATGTGGCTGCATCACCCACATGCAAGGCAAGCACCCTACCCACTGTATTATGGCTCTGGTCCTGGGCCTCCCTTTTGATGACTGACTAATATTCCACTCGGTGGGCAGTCTGTGCCGCATACTGGAAGCAGCTGGTAATGGACATGGCTGCCTCCTCCTCTAGTTTATTGTGAATATTGCGAGACGCACCAATGTACAATCTGTCCCAAGTTCCTGCTTTCACTGGTTCCCGTCCATGCCCAAGAAGTGGTCTTGAAGGGTCATCGGGGAGTTCTGATGAAGGCTTTGAGAGCCTCTCGACGGCCACAGCGGCTGTTCCATCGTCCATTCCCATCAGGAAGGCACTGGGATTCCAGCTTCTCCACATCTTGGCCTGCGTCTCTTCTGCCCTTCTTTTTTTCTTTCTCTAATAGCCATCCTAATGGATGGAAAGTGGACTCTCATTGTGTGGTTTTGATAGCTTTGGTATTTTTCATTCAAATAATCTTTAACCCTTTCCCCGCCCCAAGCTCTTTCCTCTTTCTTGTCCTCCCATCTCAGTAATGAAAATTAATATTTTTTATAAATTAAAAAAAAAGACAAACAACCCGTGGATGGGGGGGAGGGGCTAGGGACATAGGTCAAGAGGTAGAGCACATGTTTAACATGCATGAGGCCCTGAGTTTAATCCCTGCTTGCAGGTACCCATGCTCAGTGCAGCCCTGATGGCCCCCCGGGCATCATAAGGTAAGACTCTGGTGACTCCTGAGCACTGCTGGGGTTGGCTCTTATTTAAAAAAAGATCAAAGTGAGGGGCCAGAGAGACAGGACAGTGGGCACGGTGCTTGGCTTGCCTGCAGCTGAGGGGGGTTTGATCTCTGGCGTCCCATATTGTCCCCTGAGCACTGCTAGGGGTAATTCCTGAGTTCAGAGCTAGAAGTAACTCCCCCTGAGTGTGTCCAGGTGTGACCCCAAACAAACAAAAACAAACCAAAAAAACCCTGAACGTGAACAAACTCTCAAAAAGTAGATCAGTTGTTTCATGATGTGCAGTGCCACATTGCCAGGCAGGGAGAATTGTTGACAATGAGCCCCAAATTCCCAGGGGGTTATGAGGTTATGAGATTTGGCCTTATAGAGGGGACAGGCGAACCCTAGGGCTTTTATTAACCCTTCCCACTCGGTTTGAGGTTTGGATGTATGGTGGGTTCACAGTTTCCTTTACTCTCAGTTCGATGGGGCACTTGTCCTAAGCCGGCGTTGCTTCTATAACTGCTACAACCAACGTCTGCGGAAGCAGAAAACAGCACGGGGTGGAAACTGAACCTCCCGCCCCCGCAATGCCCCGCGTCTAAGGGACATTTCCGCCCTGGCCAGACTGCCCGGTTCCATGGGCAGGCAGCAATCTGGGCGGAATTCTGAAGCCAAGTCCAGTTGGCACGGCGGAATCATTTATTTTGTTTATTCGACTCTTACCTCTTTCATACATCTCTCCAGAAGTCTGCTGGGATGTGGGGGGTCACCAAAGAAAAACCAGCAAAACTAAAAGGCCTTTTTGGGTTTTTTTTTTGTTTTTGTTTTTCAAATTAAAAGCTTTACCAACCTAGTTAGCCTGCCCAGAGAAGGTGGATCAGCGAGTCAAGGGGCAACCTCAAACCTCTCTTCTTTCCTGAAAGGCGACCACTGGAGGGTTGTGGGGGTTAGGGGTGCCGTCAGATAAAGCGCTCCTGCCAGGGACCTTAGCGGGGCGGGGGCGGGGGGGGGGAAATCTCAATCTCACATGAGGCCCAGGGGAAAGGACTGACCCTGCTGGACCTCAGGGGCCTCCTTCTCAATCCCCGCGGCCCCTCGGGCTGGATGCGCGTCCCCATTGGCCTCCCACCCCAGCAGCGCCGTGAGCCGGAGTCGGGGATCGGGTGTGCAGTGTGTGTATGTGTGTTGCGGGGGGGCGTTCCACAGGCCTCCGAGGGCCCGGGGCCGCACAGAGAGTTGGTCCCGGTGGGTGACCGCCCACGGGGGCCGTGGCAGACGAGGGGGGCCCTTCGCGGCCGGCCGATAGGGACCCTGCGCTCCCCGCAGCCCCCTCCAGCCGCGCGGTCCTGCCGCCTAACCCTCCTCCCGCCCGCAGACGCGCGCGCCGCCAGGGTGTCCGGCGGGGCAGCGCGCGGGGCAGGGGCAGCGGCGGCGGGAGCTGTCCAGCACCGAGGCGGGGCGCGCGCCCCGGCCCGCCCCGCCGCCGCCGCCGCCGCCGCCGCCGCCCGCGCCACTGCGGCTCGGCGGGCGCATCACGTGGCGGCGCGGCGCGGCCTCCAGGCTGGGCGCGGGCAGGGCGTCCGGGCGCACCCTCCGGGCCGGCGGGGCATGGGCGCGCCGGGGGTCGCGGCGGGCCGGCGGCGGCGGCGGCGGCGCGGGGCCTCCCTGGCGGCCGCCGCCGAGCCCCCGCGGGGTCCGTGACGCCGCGGCCGATGTGGCCCCGCGCGCGCTGCGGGCCTGCACCGCCGCCTGGCACCGACGCGGCCGCCCGAGCCGCCCGAGCCGGGGCCCCGCGCCCGGCATGGAGACGCGCGCGGCCGCGGGGCCGGAGCGGGCGCCGGGCGTCCGGGCGCAGCTCGCCGTCGTCTGTCTGGGTGAGTGGGCCCGGGGGTGGGGGCGGGGGTGGGTGGGAGGAGGCCGGCTGCGGGGTGGGGTGGGGTGGGGGGCGCCCCCCTCGGGGCTGTTGGCTGGCTGGCACGCACGGCCGGTGCACAAAGGCCCGGCCGGCTCCCCGCGACCCCCCAACTCCCCAACCCCCGTGCGCCCCGGGCGGGTGCGGGCCGAGAAGGGGTGCCGGGCGGGGCGGGGGGCGGGGGCGCCCCGCGCGCCCCTTTGTGTCCGGCCGCGCACCTGCCGCCTCCAGCTCCTGCGCGCCGCCGCAGGGTGTGGGCAGACCCTGGGCGAGGAAGGAGTTAAGGCCCGGCCCACATGGCTCCTTTATTTACCGAGATGGGGGGAGGCCGTGGCCCCCGCTGTGGCCTCTCCACGGGAGCCCCTGAAATGACGCTGAAAAGTTCGTCCTGCCCGCAGCCCAGGTGGGGGGGGGCGCCCGTTTCCTCGAGCCGTGCTGACCCCCTCCTTGCCGCCCTCCCCGTGCCTGTCCGGCTCAGGGGTGTCCTGCTGGCAGTGGACAGCTGAGGGTGCTGACAGGGGACAGCGCGCCTTGCTCCCCGAGGCAGGGGGCTGGGGCTCTCCGCTGGCCTTGGCCGCCCCCTCTCCAGGGATAGGAGCGGAGCGCTGGGAAGTGTGGCGTGCACATCCTCGTCCCGGTTTCTCGGGGAGGGGGTGCTTAGCTTAAAGCCAGGTCCCTGGGGGGCTGGCTGGGGCTTGGGGAGAGCTGCCTTGCCTTCCTTCTCAAGGACGACTTGCACCGTCAGAACCCTTCTAAAATGGGGGGGGGGGGGAACCTGAACCGTGTCTCCATCTCTGGGACCAGGGGCATCCCATTCCCCCACCTGGTTGGGTGGTCTCTAGACGTGTGGTCCCCGCTCTAAGGGGATGGTCGGCACTCTTCCCCCCCAGATTGTCCAGGTTCTCAGAGCCGGGACAGCTGGCTCTGTCCCACTTTCTTCCACCGTGGGATGCAGGCAGCTTCTGGGCCCCCGGGGGCTGTGGTGGGTGCCAAAGTCTGAGACAGCAGGGCCAGCCGGGAATGGGCATCAGCTGCCCTGCACCCCGCAGCCCCCCTGAGCGACGACTCTGTCTCCTGCAGTCAACATCATCCTCACCGGGCAGCTCAGCAGCGCAGTTCCTGCTCTAGGTGAGTCCTTGCTCCTCCTCCTCCTCCTCCACCTCCTCCTCCTCCTCCTCTTCCTCCTCCTCCTCCTCCTCCTCCCACCTCTTCCCTGCCCTGCTGGGCTCAAGCAGAGTCCTGCCCCCACCACCCCATCTGTATTTATCCCAGAGCAGCCTCTGTGGGTTCTCAGTCTTCTCTCCTGTAAAATGGGCACAGTCATGTGCTTACCCCCTGAGCCCGTTATTGAGGCGAATGAATTAACGAGGCAAGGCGTGGGCAGCATACACAGCACCACGAGCAGCATGCCTGCACCCGGGTAGTTGGGGTCCAGGTCTTAGTATATCGAGGTGTGAGTGAGTGGGGGCAGGGGCCATGCCTGACACATGGATCGATCGGTCCTTAACATGTCCCAAGAGGAGGGTGCTGTCCCCACTCAGGGCTGAAGGAAGGCTGTCTTGATGGTGTCCCTGCAGGAGGGACTGACACAGTGGCCGAGCATGGCTGATCCCTGTGGGCACTGGATTGGGGTGGGGGGGAGTGTCTCCGATCAACAAGCTTGATCTTGTTGCCCTCTCCTGCAGGGCAGGACAGAGGGCAGCCCCCTGGCAGAGGGTCGGTAACCATGGTAAGCAGCTGCCCAACAGGCTGGCAGAGCTTATGAAAACACAGAGCCAGCTCCAGGCCGCCTCCTGCTGGTGAGGGGAGGGCCTTGCACCCCCAGCTGTGCCCAGCAGAGCAAAGACGGGCAGGAGTGGGCTGTCAGGAGTGGGCTGTCAGGGGCTGAAGGCAAAGGCAGGAGGCAGGGCCCTGTGGTTCCCGTTGTCCCCCCCTCTCGGGGGCTGCCGCCTTCCCATCTGCTGTGCTACGTGTTCCCCGACTTCCTGTTCTGCTCAGAATCGGGCGTCTCCACTGCCCGAGCCTGCGGGTCCACAGCCGCTGCCTTCAGGGCTTGCTCCAGCCACCCTGCCTCTCAGTCTGCCCTCCTGCCCTCCACTCCCCGCAAGGACCAGCGTTTGCTGACTCAGCTGCCGCCCTGCCTTGCTCAGCACCGCCGGCCCCGGCCTGTGTGCGTCCTGGCATCCTCCTGGCCCCGCCACCCCTGCCCCGGCTCATCTTCCCGTCCCAGAAGATCCAGGGCTGACTGTCCTGATGCATCGGTGTCTGAAATGCTGGGATGGGTGGGAGGTACGGGGAGGGCATTGGGCGTCACGTCTGTCTAGTGTTGGCCTGTGTCCAGCTTTGGCCTGTATCCCCACCACTGCCTCATGTGTGCCTGCACCCGGGCTAGCAGGGCCGAACACGGAGTCCAGCAGGCTCTGTGATCTCCTCAAGGCCCAGCCTGGCCCCCTCCTCGGGGTCCTGAGCTGTGTGAATGGTGACCCAGGCCCCTGTCCCTGGCCCCGTCCTCCCCAGGACATCAGCACTGATCCAGTGAGGCTCCCCCCCAGCCCCCCTCTGGACTGTGGTCACCTGACCACCTGACCCAAAATGAGTCCGGGCAGGGGCTTCTTCCAGGGCCCCTAGTCGGGTGCCGGAATCTGCAGATCGTACCTTCTGGCTGGACCTCTCCTGGCCCCGGATAGCTCTGTGGCCGGGGCATGAGGGCGTTCGGGTTGCCAAGCCACCCACCCCCGGCCACCGCCTCTCCTCCAGGGCAGTTGCCCATGACAGACAGGGTCAGTCCTTTCTCGTCCCTGCCCCCAGCAGCAGCCGCTGTGTGAGACCACGCAGGCTGAGGGGTGGGGGGCAGGGCCGCGGTTGGGGTCTCCAGGTCCTACTGGTGCTGGATCCTGGTGTGTGTGTGTGTGTGTGTGTGTGTGTGTGTGTGTGTGTGTGTGTGACCTCTGGCTGGTTGTCCAGCCTGGTGGTACCCTCCAAGCCCACGGCCATGTGATGCCCAGGTAGAAGTCCTGCGCCAGTTCCCATCCCTTCCCCGCAGCACAGTGGAACCTCCTTCCGGTCTGTCTGCGTGGAGGCCGGGGGCTGTTGGGGGTAGAGGGGGCGGATGCTGAGCCCCTGCTGACCCTTTTAAGAGTGAACTGGGACCCAATGGCGCTGCTGCCCCCGTGTGGGCATTTCGGGAACAGATGCGCGGGGCTCTGGTGTCGTTGAGTAGCGCAGGCGCTGTCCAGCCTTTGCTGCTCACTCCGTCGCTGGTGTGTGCAGAGGCATCTGTGATCCTTTAAAGAAGGGGCAGCCCTGGTTCTTGGCCACGGGGGTCAGCTGTGGGAACAGAGGCTGGTGGAGGTCCCCCCACCCCACTGGGCTCATTCACACGTGAAATGTGTGCCTTGTCTCTGAGCATCCCCAAACCTCTCCCTCCTTCCGGTCACCTCACGACCTCTGAGCAGGACGCAGGTGCCCACTCCCTGGCTGGGAGCCCAGGCTCTGGGCTGCCTTTGCGAGAGTGGGTGCAGGCGGTGGGGACAGGGGAGCTCTGGGGACACAGGTCAGGGCTGGTCTCCCAGGCCACAGCTGGGTACCCTATGGGAGACTGACCCTTGACACCCTCACACCAGGTGGTCAGCTCAGCCTTAGGGTTGGGGCCTCCTGGTTCTTTGGATCACTCCTGGAGCCTGAGCAGTACCAGGACTGGCCAGGTCACTCAGCGCTTGGTATTTCCTGAGTACCTACTGTGCACCAGCACTGGTGGGGTCCTGGGACCACATCAGGGCTGGCACATCTGGAAGGGATGTCACTGCTGCTGAAGTAGGGACACAGGAGGGGCAGCTGCAATGAAACCCCACCGGGAAAGTTCCTCCCCTTCCCCCTGCCATGCAGAAGCTGAGTGGGAGGTGTGGGGGCACTACCCCTTTCCACGACTGTAACGTGTGGGGTCCCAGCAGAAACCCCTGCTTCTAAGGAGACTCTGGAAGGTTCTAGGCAGTGGGAAAGTGATGAGGAGGTGTCCCTGGGCTGGGTAGAGAGATTGCTTGTCTCCCCAGCCTCCGTTCCCCCTCTGGTATGGTGAGCCCTGCTTTTCCCAGGTCGCTGTGGCCACCAGGTGGAGAAGGGTTGCAAGGTGCTGAGCCCAGGGAAGGTGTGCCAGGCCGTGGGCAGCACCAGTGTGTGAGACTGGGCACAGTGGCACTCCTCGCCAGGGCACCTGCCACACGCATTGTCCACACTTGAGAAGCCCGATGGCTCAAGGCTGGCAGTTAGAGGCTGAACGGCAAGGGACGAGGGGGCACCCTGAAGCTGCAACTAACTGGTTGTGTGGCCACAGGCAAGTCACACGCCTTCTCTGAACCTCAGGCTTCTCACCTGGGTATGGTGTTTGCCTCCAGTACCAACTTCCAACTAAGGCACGGGAGGAAGCCTGAGTTCCATCTGAGCATGGCTCAGCCTGTGTTTCTGGTTCGCCGGGACATGAGCCTTGTCCCCAGCCTCTGGCCTGAGTCATCGGTCAGCTGGTCAGCTTGTCTTCCTGGCCCAAGCTCCTCCCAGCAGGGCTGTCCTGTGCAGCCACCCGTGAGGGTACATTCCTGCAGCTGCCTCAGAGCCTGAGCTGTGTGTGACGCTCACCAGGAGGGCGGCAGGGGCCCCAGCAGGACGGCGTGGGTAGGGCAGGGCAGGATGTGGAATCCCCCAAGGCTGCCTCTTGGACTGATGTGCCAAGGGGAGTGTGGGCGGCTTCAGGGACAGGGCCCAGGTCCCATAGTGCAGGGCTTGGCTAGAGTCCTGCCCCACCCAGAACCATGTGGCTCCCCCCTCGGCCCTCACCCTAAGGACCAGTTCTGTGAAGCCTCAAATAGTGGCCTTGTCTGTAAAAATATTTAATGCTTATGCCGACTTATTTGATCTCTGATGGCCACCTGGGCTAGGTTTGCCCCCACCCTGGGGAAGCCTGTGCTGAGGCCACGGGGCTCAGGTCTTGCCCCCACTTCCCACCCGCAGGTGAGGCCGGCCTCTCGCCCCCAGCCACCTGCAGCGGGAAGCTGGAGCAGCACACAGAGCGGCACGGTGTCATCTTCAGCCCGGCCTGGCCCCTCAACTACCCGCCCGGCACCAACTGCAGCTGGTACATCCAGGGAGACCGCGGGGACATGATCACCATTAGGTGCGGGCCGGGAGCAGGGCTGTCTGTGTGTGCATGTACGGCAGGTGGGAGGTGTGGCGGGTGTGTGTGTGAGCAAGTGTGCATGAGCACACACCCGGGCCTGTGTGAGGCCTGTGAGATGAGCCACACGTGTGAGCACGTGTCAGCAGCTGTGGAGGGTCTGTGCGAGCAGATGTGTGGGAGCACGTGTGAGTGTGCGTGCGAGTGCGTGTGCACGTGTGAGTGTAAGTATCTCACATGAGTGTATATGTGTGTGCATGAGCAGGGGTGTGAGCGTATTTCACACGTGAGTGTGTACATGCGCACGTGTAAGCAGGAGTGTGAGCGAATGTGTTTCACATGTGAGTGTGTACGTGTGCATGTGTGAGCTGGGGGGTGAACATATGCATCTCACACGTGACATGTGTTTGCACATGTGACGGGTGTGAGTGTATGATTTCACATGTGTGTACACGTGCATGTGTGGGCGGGGGTGTGAGCATAGGTATCTCACATGAGTGTATATGTGTGTGCATGAGCAGGGGTGTGAGCGTATGTATTTCACACGTGAGTGTGTACATGCGCACGTGTAAGCAGGAGTGTGAGCGAATGTGTTTCACATGTGAGTGTGTACGTGTGCATGTGTGAGCTGGGGGGTGAACATATGCATCTCACACGTGACATGTGTTTGCACATGTGACGGGTGTGAGTGTATGATTTCACATGTGTGTACACGTGCATGTGTGGGCGGGGGTGTGAGCATAGGTATCTCACATGAGTGTATATGTGTGTGCATGAGCAGGGGTGTGAGCGTATGTATTTCACACGTGAGTGTGTACATGCGCACGTGTAAGCAGGAGTGTGAGCGAATGTGTTTCACATGTGAGTGTGTACGTGTGCATGTGTGAGCTGGGGGGTGAACATATGCATCTCACACGTGACATGTGTTTGCACATGTGACGGGTGTGAGTGTATGATTTCACATGTGTGTACACGTGCATGTGTGGGCGGGGGTGTGAGCATAGGTATCTCACATGAGTGTATATGTGTGTGCATGAGCAGGGGTGTGAGCGTATGTATTTCACACGTGAGTGTGTACATGCGCACGTGTAAGCAGGAGTGTGAGCGAATGTGTTTCACATGTGAGTGTGTACGTGTGCATGTGTGAGCTGGGGGGTGAACATATGCATCTCACACGTGACATGTGTTTGCACATGTGACGGGTGTGAGTGTATGATTTCACATGTGTGTACACGTGCATGTGTGGGCGGGGGTGTGAGCATAGGTATCTCACATGTGTGTATATGTGTGCACATGAGAGCGTATTATCACATGTGAGTATGTACATGTGTGCATGTGTGAATAGGTTTTATATGCACATGAGTGTGAGATGTGTCTGCACGCAAGCACATGTACGCACATGTGACTTGTGTGTGCACATGTGTACCTGTGAATGTGGGAGCAGGCTTGTGGGCATATGTGTGAGCAGGTGTGTGTATGTTGTGTGTACACAGGTGAGTGCATGTGTGAGAACAGGCATCTGTACACCATCTGAATAGTGTGTGTGTGTGTGTGTGTGCAGAGCCCCCATGTGAGCAGGGCTAGGACATGCATGTACATGCATGAGCAGGTGTGTGTGCAGCCTGTGAGCTCTGAGGGTAGCTGTGGCTGGCTGTGGAGTTGCTGTGGAGCCCAGATGCCTCGGGGGCAGCTGGAGGTGGCGGCACAGGTGGCCTCTGTCTTGCAGCTGTGACTTGAGCCAGCCTGTCCCGGGCTCAGACAGGGCCCTGCAGGGAGGGAACCAGCTGCAGAGGGCGGAGCTGAGGCTGGAACCCCAGCCTGGGGAGGGGCAGGGACATTTGGCTGGGCAGTGTCCAAACCACAGAGCACACCTGGCAGGGACTTCCTTCAGACCACCTTCCTGACTGGCTGGAGAACTTTGCACAGCCCACCGCAGTGGGTCAGCACTCCTGCCCTGGAATGAGCCCACCTGGCCAGGGTGACACCCCTCCCGGGGCAGGCTGGCGAGTGTGTGGGCCTGGCCCCCAGTGCCAGGCTGGCGTGGTGGGTCAGGTGTAGGAGGGAGCTGTCCACGCTGGGCTGCTGTGTTGTGCGGAGCGGCCATGTGAGGCCATGGGCGAGCTCAGCGCGGGGTCTCGCTGCTTTCTGGGCCCACCCAGAGCCCGGGCCTGACTTGGTTCCTGGGCCGTGTGGATGCTGCCTGCCGGCGCCCACGGCGACCACCCTCTGCCGCTGCAGCTTCCACAACTTTGACGTGGAGGAGTCCCACCAGTGTTCCCTGGACTGGCTCATGCTGGGCCCCGCGGCCCCACCCCGCCAGGAGGCCTTCCGGCTGTGCGGCTCCGCCATCCCTCCCGCCTTCATCTCCGCCCGGGACCACGTCTGGATCTTCTTCCACTCGGACGCCTCCAGCTCAGGCCAGGCCCAGGGATTCCGTCTCTCCTACATCCGAGGTGATGCGGGGGAGGCAGCACCCCACATTCGGGGCACCCTCGGGGGACTCCCTAGGCCCAGAGCAGCCGCCAGCCCCCACCAAGCCCTTGGGCTTCGCTCGGTCCCAGCCCAGGGGATGGCACCTGCCTGGGGCTGTTGCTGTCGCCCTGGGGTGCCACCCTGATGCTTCCCCTCCCCTGCCCCCCACAGGGAAGCTGGGCCAGGCGTCCTGCCAGGAGGGCGAGTTCCACTGCGACAACGGCAAGTGCCTGCCGGGCCCGTGGCAGTGCAACACCCTGGATGAGTGCGGGGACGGCTCGGACGAGGGCAACTGCTCGCTGCCCGCCTTGGAGCCGCCGGGCAGCCTGTGCCCTGGGGGCACCTTCCCCTGTAGCGGGGCGCGCTCCACGCGCTGCCTGCCGGCTGAGCGCCACTGCGATGGCCTGCAGGACTGCGGCGACGGCTCGGACGAGGCGGGCTGCCCCGACCTGGCGTGCGGCCGGCGGCTGGGCAGCTTCTACGGCTCCTTCGCCTCCCCGGACCTGTTCGGCGCCGCCCGCGGGCCCTCGGACCTGCACTGCACGTGGCTGGTGGACACGCAGGACCCGCGGCGCGTGCTGCTGCAGCTGGAGCTCCGCCTGGGCTACGACGACTACGTGCAGGTGTATGAGGGCCTGGGCGAGCGCGGCGACCGGCTGCTGCAGACCCTGTCCTACCGCAGCAACCACCGGCCCGTGAGCCTGGAGGCCGCCCAGGGCCGCCTCACTGTGGCCTACCACGCCCGCGCCCGCAGCGCCGGCCACGGCTTCAACGCCACCTACCAGGTGAAGGGCTACTGCCTGCCCTGGGAGCAGCCGTGCGGCGGCAGCGGGGCGGGCGGCGCGGGCGAGCAGGGCTGCTTCTCGGAGCCGCAGCGCTGCGATGGCTGGTGGCACTGTGCCAGCGGCCGTGACGAGCAGGGCTGCCCGGCCTGCCCGCCCGACCAGTACCCCTGCGAGGGCGGCGGCGGGCAGTGCTACGCCCTGGCCGAGCGCTGCAACAACCAGAAGAGCTGCCCGGACGGCGCCGATGAGAAGAACTGCGCCTCCTGCCAGCCCGGCACCTTCCACTGCGGCACCAACCTCTGCATCTTCGAGACGTGGCGCTGCGACGGCCAGGAGGACTGCCAGGACGGCAGCGACGAGCGCGGCTGCCTGGCGGCCGTGCCCCGCAAGGTCATCACGGCCGCGCTCATCGGCAGCCTGGTGTGCGGGCTGCTGCTCGTCATCGCCCTGGGCTGCGCCTTCAAGCTCTACTCGCTGCGCACGCAGGAGTACAGGTGGGCGGGAGGCAGGCACAGGTGGGCAGGGGCACAGGTGCAGGGGGATAGGGGAAAAGGTACAGGTGAACAGGGGTGCAGGTAGATGAGTACAGGTGGGCAGGGGCACAGGTGCAGGTGAGCAAGGACACAAGTACAGGTGGGCAGGGGTACAGGTACAGGTGAGTAGGGGCACAGGAATAGGTGGGCAGGGGTACAGGTACAAGTGGGCAGGGGCACAGGTGGGCAGGGGCACAGGTGCAGGTGAGCAAGGACACAAGTACAGGTACGGGTACAGGTGAGTAGGGGCACAGGAATAGGTGGGCAGGGGTACAGGTACAAGTGGGCAGGGGCACAGGTGGGCAGGGGCACAGGTGCAGGTGAGCAAGGACACAAGTACAGGTACGGGTACAGGTGAGTAGGGGCACAGGAATAGGTGGGCAGGGGCACAGGTGGGCAGGGGCACAGGTGCAGGGGGATAGGGGAAAAGGTACAGGTGAACAGGGGTACAGGTAGATGGGTACAGGTAGACAGAGGCACAGGGACAGGTAAGGGTACAGGTACAGGTGGGCAGCGGCACAGGTACAGGTGAGCAGGGACACAGGTCCAGGTGGGCAGCGGCACAGGTACAGGTGGGCAGGGGTACGGGTACAGGTGAGCAGGGGCACAGGAATAGGTAGGCAGGGGCACAGGTGCGTGTGAACAGGGGTACAGGTAGATGGGTACAGGTGGGCAGCGGCATAGGTACAGGTGAGCGGGGCAGAGGTACAGGTGGGCAGGGGCACAGGTACAGGTACAGGTGGGCAACGGCAGAGGTACAGGTGAGCAGGGACACAGGTGCAGGTCGCGCCTGTGGGAGGGCGTGAGCTGGGGACAGCAGTCCGGCCTGCTGTGGAGCCCTGCCGTCCCCGGTGGCCCTGCCACGTGTGCTCTGCGCCGGGCTTGCAGGGCCTTCGAGACGCAGATGACGCGGCTGGAGGCGGAGTTCGTGCGGCGTGAGGCGCCGCCGTCCTACGGGCAACTCATCGCGCAGGGCCTCATCCCCCCCGTGGAGGATTTCCCCGTGTACAGCGCCTCCCAGGTGGGCCGCGGGCAACCCCGAGGGCCTGGGGTGCGGATGGGCACGGGCTCCAGGAGGTGGGGGACGCCTACAGGAGGCGTGCGAGGTGGCGCTGCTGAGCGCTGCTGAGCGCCTCCCGCGGGCTCCGCCGCCGCTTCCCCGCAGGCCTCCGTGCTGCAGAACCTGCGGACGGCCGTGCGGCGGCAGATGCGCAGACACGCCTCCCGCCGGGGACCCTCCCGCCGCCGCCTCGGCCGCCTCTGGAACCGGCTCTTCCACCGGCCGCGGGCGCCGCGCGGGCAGATCCCGCTACTGAGCGCCGCGCGCACCTCTCAGACCGTGCTGGGCGACGGGCTCCTGCAGCCCGGCCCAGCGCCTGCCCCGGAGCCCCCGGCACCCCCGAGCAACCCAGACAGCCCCGGGGCTGCTGGAGACGCACCCCCCGGGGACGCAGGCTGTGAACCAGAGGGGGGACCTTCCGGACTGTCGCCAGGCCAGGAGTGTGGGCCCGAGGACATGGACAGCAAAGCGCCTCGCAGGGACGCTCTGGAGGACAGCCCCGGCCCCGCGGAGCCCCCACGGGAGCCCAGTGCAGCCCTGGACCCTGCGGCCCCCGCCCCCACCGCCAGCAACACCCCAGGCCCCCACCCAGCAGAGCCCCTGGGTGTCTGCAGGAGCCCCCTGACACCCTGCTCCCCAGCGCAGGAGGCCAGTGACGACGAGGCCCTGCTGGTCTGCTGACCTACTGGACGCTCTGGGGACCGCCACAGCCCCGCTTTGTAACCAGGGAATACACAGTCGTTTCTACCCTGCCTCCGTGTCCTTTCTTATGCAGCCCGCACCTGCTGGTGGGCACACTGATGGGCAGACGGGGTGGGGTGGCATGGGGTTCCTGGTGTGTGCACCCAGTGGCCTGCAGTCTTGGCTCTGCCCCCTTTTTTCCCGGAAACCCGTGGCCAGGAGGAGGCATCTGGGGGTGTCTGTGCCTCTGGCTCTCTTCACCCCGAGGAGTGCAGGGTCTGGGAACTGGGCCGTGGGCCTCTGGACCTAGTTCGTGGGGTGCTGTGGGCACTGAGCCCTCCTCCTCCTCCCAAGGGCATGGGAACTGCTGGACGGTGGGGTTCTGGTCAGTGTCCAGGCGCCAAGGCAAAAACTAGGGTGCTGGGCTCAGAACGGAGCAAGCCCTGGGTGGGCTGGAGAGCCCAGGGGGTTCTGTAAGTGCAAGTCCTGCTCAAAGCCTCAGTTTCCCCCTTGTAAAGTGGGCAGGGCTCCTGGCACCCACACTGGGTTGGATGGGAAACAGCAGCTTAGCAGGAGCCCATGGGCTGGCGGTCAGGGACTGCAGGGGCGTCGGGTAGCTGTTTCCTGACCCTCCCTGCGTGTCCCTCTGGGGGTAGACGTTCCTTTGACTGCCACCCCCACCCCAAGCCAGCCCCAGGTGAGTGCCCAGTCAGATGGCAGTGTCCCCCTGCCCCGCTGGCGGGCGTCAGAGGCCAGCTCCCCGCGGCATTCCCAGGGACTCAGCCGAGCGGCGGCTCTCTCGAGGGCCACCAGCCTGTTTTATTCGGGGACCTTCCAGGCGGGCCAGGAGGGTGGAGTGACAGGGAGCCTGCCCACACTTCTGGGGGCTCCTCACCCCTCCAAGAATTGGATCGTTTTTGTTGTTTCGGGAGAAAAAAAAACGAATGTTTTTGCAAAAACACCTCCTCAATAAACAACATGTAAACAGAAACCGCTGCTCCGGCGGCCCCTCGACGTCTCACTGTGTCTTCAGGGGCTTGTCGGAGGCAGCAGGCAGCGGGGAGGCCTCCCAGGGGCTGCTCTCCTCCTCCGGGGAGCCCTGGGGGTAGACTACGAAGCACAGCTCCTGGCCCCAGCACGTCAGGGACTCTGGGGAAGCAAGGACGCAGGTCAGGGGGCAGCGGCGGGGCCCATCACTCCAGACAGATGCCTACTGGCAGTCTCCCCATTCCCCGTCCCTCCCCCCCATTGGCATGACAGCCGGTCCGAGACCCCCAGCCTTTGCCCCTGGCTCCCCACGGGCGCCCCTTCCCGACTCACCGGCTAGTCTGCGCACACACTTTGGTTTGCTCCTCCAGACCACGCCCAGGAAAAAGATGGGGACCCCAGTGAGGATAATGATGACGCCGACCCCGCACACCATGGGCTCCGAGATGAAGCTGAAGACCAGCAGAAACGCCCAGAAGACCAAGTACGCCACCGGGATCAGGAGGTTGACCTGGGGCGTGCACGCAGAGCACTAGAGAACTGCGTTCCTCTGCTGCGCACGCGCGCCAGCACACACACGGGGAGAGGCCAGCTGTCCCCCCCCTCCCCCGCGCACTCCAGCCCTCCCTGGCCAGACTGCAGCCTCTGAAACCCACCCGTCCACCCCCGGCCTGGCTGCAGGGCTCAAGGGTTCAGAGTGTGAAGACCTATCAGGACAAAGGAACTGCTCTGGGCCCGGCCCCGGTGGCCAGTCCCCTGCATTCAGACGCACGTCTCAAGCAGGGACAGGGCTTTTTCTTTTTTTTTTTTCTTTTTGGGTCACACCCAGAGATGCACAGGGGTTACTCCTGGCTCTGCACTCAGGAATCACTCCTGGTGATGCTCAGGGGGACCATATGGGATGCTGGGAATTGAACCCGGGTCTACGACGTGCAAGGGAGATGCCCTACCCGCTATGCTATCGCTCCAGCCCCAGACCAGGCTTTTTGTGCTGTTTCAGGGCTCCTGCCTGAGCCTCCTTCTCCTGCTTCTGACCTAGGCCCATGAAAGCCCGGGCCACCAGGGGTTCTAAGGAGGATGGTGTCTGTCCCAAGCAGCTGGAGCGCTCAGGGCCACGGGGTCAGGGGCACTGGCTGCCACACCCCCTCCTCACCTTGATGGGCCGGTGCAGAGCCGGCCGCCTCCAGCGCAGCACCAGCAGGCCCAGAATGGTGACGCCGTAGCAGAGGTAGTTGATGAAGGACACGTAGTTGATGAGAGTGTAGGTATCACCCACCAGCATGATGACAGCGGTGGCCCCACACTGTGGAGAGCACGGGCTGAGCGCTGGCCTCCCACGGGCTGCCCAGCCAGGTCACACCACCCAACCCAGGAAGCCCATCCAGTGCTTTGGTCCTGCCCTGCCTGGGTCCCCCCAACTTACGCAGACGAGGAGGGCGGGGACGGGGGTGCAGCGTCTGACATGGATCATGGCCAGCAGACTGGGCAGGTGACCCTCCCGGGCACCAGAGAAGCAGAGTCTGGGGTGGAGGTGGACAAAGATAGGGGACCTCTGACGGCCAGCCCCAGGCGCCCTCCAGCTGGCTGCTCTTCCCTTCTTAAGCCGACCTCTCCTGCTCTTGCTTAGTGGGTGTCTGGCCTTGACTGGGGTTCCAGCCTCAGGATCCCCACGCTAGCTGGGGGCTCCGGCCCACCTCCCCCAAACCAGCCCTGTCTCCAGAGCCGCCCACCTGGAGGAAGTGAACAGGTAACCATTGATGCCTCCGAACGTGGAAAGTGCCACGGAGACGGGCATGACCCAGGAGAAGTAGCCCAGCAGCTTCTCCCCGAAGGTCTGGGCGGACACAGAAGAGGGGGCGCGTGAGGTGGGGCGGGCCGGGCAGGGCTCGGGGACCCCCGCGGGGCTCCACTCACCACGGCCACCGCGTTCGAGGCCAGCAGCTCCTGGGGTGACATGGCAGTGAAGTAGGCGATGTTGGTGAGTGTGTACACGAAGGTCACCAGCGGGATGGAGATGAAGATGGCGCGAGGTAGGTTCCTGGGGGCAGCGGCGCGGGCTCAGCCTGGGGGGGCGAGGGGCTGGGGACGGCCGGGCACGTGGGGGGTACGTGGGGGACCCAGTGATGAAGGCAGATCAGCCGCCACCAGCAGCGGTGGGTCAACTATGGCCTCCCCTGCCCCAGCCCCAGCCCGGCTCCGGTCAGAGAGAGGAGGCAGAGTGCAAGCACGTGTTCTACAGGGCGGAGCCTGGGTTCCTTCTCTAGCCCACTCTGGATGGAGACACTGGATGAGCCAGATGCATCCCCAGACCCTCACCACCCCCAGGTGTCGCCAAAAGCCAAAACCCAACAACAACAAAAAAAAAAAAAAGAGAGAGAAAGGAAGGGCAGATGGTGGAGGGGAAAATGTCCCAGGACCCAAGTTTCTGGCCACCCTGAAAATCCCTCAAATGTCCTTAGAGTCCATTGCACACGGGGGTCCCCTGGCACATGGTGCCAGCCGGGGCTGGACAGACACCGCCACCAGAGCCACTGGGGAGGGTTGCGTGGTGGCACAGGTCACATGCTATTTCAAGGACAGGTGCTCTCAATGGCTCAGGCCCAGCCAGGAGAAGTGTCTATAGGCTGGATCGGCTTTGCAGAGCCGGCCCCGGAGAATCCCTATCGGGTGCCCCACTCACTTCCGAGGGTCCACCAGCTCCTCAGTGACGTAGTTGAGGAAGTTCCAGCCGCTGAAGGCGAAGGAGCCCTGGAGGAAGGCGAGGGCCAGGTGCCCCACTGATGGCGTCATCCAGAAGGAGAAGGCATTGCGGGGCCTCAGCTCCTCAAAGTGTCCTGGGGGGCCAGAGGGGGAGCCTCAGGATGGTCCCTGCAGGCCTGAGCCCAGCCCCCAGCCCCCAGCCCCGCCCCGCCCTAGCCCCGCCTCTAGCCCAACACGTCCCAGCCCCTCCCCGCCTTCAACCACTCCCTAACCACCCCCCAGGCACAACACGCCCTCAAACACGTGCCAGTCACGCCCTCAACTCCGCCCCAGTCCCACCCTAGCCCCTTCCTAGCCCTCTGCTTCCATCAGGCCCTAGCCACATGCTGTACCCCACCCAGCCCCGCCCTAGTCCCGCCCATGCCCCCCCCCGTTCTCGGCCCCGCCCCTATCCCCGGCCCACATTGGCCCCGCCCCACATTGGCCCCGCCCCACCACAGCCTGGCCACGCCCCCGCCACGCCCCTAGCCCCAGCTCCGGGTCCGCCAGTTCCCCTAGGCCGCCCCAAGCTCCTGCCAGGTCCCCAGCTCCCACCCCGCCCTACCTTGGAAGATCTGAACGAAGCCCACAGCGATGATGAGCGACAGGGCCAGCAGCTTCCCGCCCGTGAACACGTCCTGGATGCGCGTGGCCCAGCGCACGCTGGAGCTGTTCACCCAGGTCAGCAGCACTGCGCGGGACGGGGCTCAGCGCGGGAGGGCAGACCGTCCCACCCACCCCACCCTCCCCCTCTTAGGGGGCCAGCGCTCGGGGCCACTCACTCAGGCAGGCCATGGACAGCAGGCGGGAGGCGGCGGCCGGCGGGATGCAGCTGGGGAGCATAGGCTGCAGCACGTAGTTGGAGAAGGTCATGGAGATGACAGCCAGGCTGGTGGGGTACATGATGAGGACGGCACTCCAGAGAAGCAGGAACCTGCAAGGGGGCCGGGGCGCCAGTGGCACGGGCTGCGGGGGTCTCCCCTGGACCCAGGCGCCAGCTCCTAGCTGGGCGCTGGGCTCTGGGCTGCACCTCTGGAGTGCCAGACTTGGAACCAAGGCCCTGGCGATGACCCCCGCCCCAGCCCGCCCCACTCCCTGTGTGCTCTGAACTGTCCTGGGGTTCTCCGGATCCTGGCCCTGAGCTGTGTGACCCCCTGGAAGAAGCCTGGACCCAGTAGGGAGCCAGGGGGAGTAGGGATGGGTGGGGAGGTGATTTACACCCTGAACCCTGTGGGGTCCATCTGGGATGGGCACCAGGTTGGGAGACCAGACCTGTCCCCGGGCTCTGCCTGTCTGTGGGATTGTCCCCAGGGATGTCCAAGACTGGTGGCTTCCTCATGCTCTCATTTTGCACACCTTTGAGGTCCCGCCCCTGCCCTGCGCTCCCTTTACCCACCCACCCTGGTCTCCGAAAGGGCCCTACCTTCAACTCCACCTCCTTCCCCAGGGGCCAAGGGGCAGCCAAGGACACAGCCTGTGCCCCCCTCTCCACTCCAAAGGGCTACCATAAGAGCCTTCAGTCTATTTTTTTTTTCTTTTTTGCTTTTTGGGTCACACCCGGCGATGCTCAGGGATTACTCCTGGCTCTGCACTCAGGAATTACTCCTGGTGGTGCTCAGGGGACCAGATGGGATGCTGGGAATCGAACCTGCGTTGGCCACGTGCAAGGCAAAGGCAAATGCCCTACCCGCCATACTATCACTCCAGCCCCAAGAGCCTTCCATCTAAAATTTCCTTCTGGACCCGGCTGAGACCCCTCCAATGTGGCCCCACCCGTATACCTCCATTTCTCCCAGCCCCCATGAACCAGCCACACCCCCTAGCAAGAGGGCAGATCTCAGCTCAGTCCACACTGTTGTACCTACTCCCCATGACCCAGGCTCTCTGAGACTCTGACATGCACCCCAAAGTGAACCCACTGCCCCCTGCTCTCCCTTCAGCCAGTCAGCCAATACTGAAGCTACCACGGCACCCAGGAAGGGCCATCCATCCTCTGCACACATCTTAGCTGTGGAGCAGTGCAGCTCCCCAGAGCCTGTTCTGCTCCCCGACTCTTGACGGGAGGCTGTAGGTTTGCCATCGGGGATGGAACCCGGGCCTCCTGCCGGGGCGCCTGGGCTCTCCCGGGCCCATGAGGGTGCATGTGAGAAGAATGGCCACTGGGTGCTGCTGGCGCCTGGCGAGTGTCCTCTGAGCTCACCACCTCCCCCCATCCCAGATGACGCAGTGCCCGCAGCCTGGAAACCAGGATCACCTCCTGGCCACAGTGAAGAGGGGACAGAGAGACTGAGGGGCCAGCTGGGGTGTCCAGCTGAGAGGGCAGCTGCAGGTCCTGCCCACCTTGACTGGGAAGCCGATCCCGCCCCTTCCCCATGATGTGGTGGGCCAGTGGGCCATGCTCTGTGGAGAGGCCCGCCGGAGATCCCTCCACTTACCCGGCCAGGCCCCCGAAGATCTCAGTGACATAGGCGTAGTCCCCGCCGGACTTGGGGATGGCGACGCCCAGCTCGGCATAGCACAGGGAGCCCAGGGCGGTGATGCCGCCCCCCAGGACCCAGACAAAGAGCGCAAGCCCCACAGAGCCCGAGTGCTCCAGCACGCCCTTGGGGGAGATGAAGATGCCCGAGCCGATGATGTTGCCTGTGGAGAGATGGGGGCACGTGCGGTCAGGCAGGGCCAGGTCAGGGCAGGCCAGGGCAGCTGCTACTGCAGGTCCTGATCTAAGTTGCTCTGGTCCCTTATCCCCGCGAGGAGCCATAGGACAAGTGGTCACTCGGGCACCAGAACATCACAGAGGGGCCACATGCAGGCCCCTGACTGAGGCCGCCATTCCCAGCAGCGTCCAACTTGCTGGCCAGAGGGGACTTCCCAAAACCATACCTTGACTCTGATGTTCTGCTGTTGCCAAACTCCCTAAGGGTGCCTCCTCTAGGAAGCTCCCCCCCTTTTTTTCTTTTTGAGTCACACCCGACAATGCACAAGGGTTTCTCCCGGCTCTGCACTCAGAAATTACTCCTGGTGGTGCTCAGGGGACCATATGGGATGCTGGGAATCGAACCCAGGTTGGCCGCGTGCAAGGCAAATGCCTTACCTACTGTGCTATCGCTCCAGCCCCTCTGGGAAGCCCTCTTGGCCTATATCAGGTGCAGGCTCTTCTCTCCACTTCACCTTACCAGGGTGCCCTAGGTCCTGCTCAGTTCTCTAGCTTTTTTTTTTTTTATATATTACTTCTTTTTTTTCCTTTTTTTGGTTTTTGGGTCACACCCGGCAATGCACAGGGGTCACTCCTGGCTCTGCACTCAGGAATTACTCCTGGCGGTGCTCAGGGGACCATATGGGATACTGGGAATCAAACTCAGGTCGGCTGCGTGCAAGGCAAACGCCCTACCCGCTGTGCTATCACTCCAGCCCCAGTTCGCTAGCTTTTTATTTTTGTTTTTGGTCTGCTTTGATTTTCCCTCCCAGGGAGCCTCACCACCTACTTCCCGGCACCTCCTTGACCTGGGGCCCCTGGCACAGCCCAGGTGGAGGTGGAGGGAGAGGTGCGGGTGGGCAGCGGTCACGGGAAAGGGAAGGAGGGGGTGAGGGAACACTGGTATGGCTGCACACAAACTCAGCCCACCGTGATCAGCTCCCCACAACCGTGACCACACCCGCACTGGGGCAGGTTCCTTGTGCAGTCAGCGAACTCAGCCCAGGCTGCACTACACCTGCTTTGGTCACCTGGTGCCTCCAGCACAAGGGGGGAGGGGGGAGGGGCCGAGGGGGGCTGGTCCCCACACAGTCCTGCCAGTGAGTGGCAGGTGCCACCAGGGGTGCCTGCTCTGTGTGACAGTAGGGGTCCTTCCTGTGCAGCAAGATCCCCTGGCCCTCCTGGAGGTGGGTGACAGGGTGGTGATGCCGCCTCCCCAGGACCCAGGGGTGGCAGGGGAGAGCCTGGAGGGCTGGGTTGGGCTGGGTGCTGGGGTGAGCACGAGCCCCCCCCCCCCCAAGTATGGCAAGGACATACTCAGCTTCATGGTTGAACGGGGCCCAGGCAGTCACACTCTGGAGTGGCTGGGGGTCCACAGTGGCACAGAGGAGTTGGGCCCCACCGTGGAAAAAACAGGCCTGAAAAGAAACGCCCCCCTCTCCCCCAGAACTCAAAGACTGCACAACACGAACATGTTCCTGCAGAGACCGAGACCCGCCGGGGACCAGCACAAGTGGCCCTCAGGACAGAGCCTGCCGCCTCCTCCACCTGCAGGCCCGCGGGCAGGCGGACGGGGACACTGCCATCTGCATGCATCCCTTGTCCCCCGGGCCACCCGCCCCACCCCCGCCGACACAGATTCGCAGCCTGACAGCCACAGCCCAACTTGGGTTTCTAGTCACATCTCAGGAGCCCTAAATCCATCCAGATAAGGATGACAGAATCCCTCCCCCCATACACACACATACACACACGCACACACACACACACACACACACATACACACACAAATACATACATACGCACACCGCCTCAAGGTACGCAGAGCCCTCAGCCGGCTTCCAAGGGGCCAGCCTGGGTGGGGGGCAGGGCCTGGGCTGGCTCTGCGCTTCCCAAAGGGCCTTTGAGTTTCTCAGTCTAGTAGCCGAGCTTCTGTTCTCGGAACCTGGTGCGGTGGGATTTGCCAAAAGTCAGGGAGGTTGGAAGCCAGCGGGGATGGACGGCTTTGGGAGAAGACGGGGAGTGGAGGGGGGTTGTGTTACACTGTGGGTATCTGGGGCACTGAGCCACCCACCCTGGGGGTCTCAGGTCATCCTGGCAGCAGCACCTGGTGGGCAGAGCCTTGGGGGAAGATACACATTATACCCCGTTCTCCAGGGCACAGCCGTTGGACTGCACCCCAGGGCTGGGCTGGGGTCACTCTTTTTTTTTTTGGCTTTTTGGGTCACACCTGGCGATGCACAGGGGTTACTCCTGGCTTTGCACTAGGAATTACTCCTGGCGGTGCTCAGGGGACCATATGGGATGCTGGGAATTGAACCCGGGAAGGCATACACCCTGCCCATTGTACTATTGCTCCAGCACTGCTAGAGTCACTCTTGGTTCGGGTGTCTGGCCTTGGGCTAGAACACAGGACCTTCTGCCCGTGAGCATTCAGTGGGTTTCCTTCTGGGGCCAGGACAATGACACCCTCCACCTTACAGGGCTGCCCTCTGACCCTGCACACACAGACTGGGCCTGATCAAGGGTGGGCACCTGTGCAGGAGGATTAGCTGGAAGTGGGCAGGAGGGCTCTGCTGCTGCAGTGGGTCCCAGGGGTGAGGTAAAGGGACCACGAGCTGAACGGGCAGGCTGCAGGTGCCAGGGAAAGGCAGGGGACGGTAGGTGGATGGCTGGGGACCATCCAGACATGGGGGGTTGTGATAGGGCGGAAGTGGAGAGAGGTGGGAGCCAGGGCACCCACGGTGGTCCTGGGGGGGGGGGGGTCATGAGCCATTGCAGGTGCGGGGCAAGTGTGGGGCCCAAGGCCCCGGCGCTCCTGTCCAGTCAAGGCTGGGCTATGGTAGGATGCCGGAGCCCAGGCGGGCGGCGGACGCTGATATGTCCACCCGCAGCAGATGCCCGGACTCTCCCTGCAGCCCGTGCGCGTTGGGCCGCTTTATCGCATTGAGATGTTTGGCCTGATGGGGCTTCCCTGCCTCTGCAGGAGAACGAAGAAAGGGCCATTGTTCGCCCTCCGTGCGCGCTGACCTATTTCTGGGTGGCAGCGGCCGCCCACGGAGGTCTCCCCGGCACAGCAAGTCTGGGGAGGAGGAGACAGGCAAGCAGGGGGACGTGTGTGCCAGGTGCCGCCGGCTCAGGGAGGGCCGAGGTGGTCGCACCCCACAGCGGTCGGGAGTGGGGAACACCCAGGAGAGGCTGCTGGCCGCCACCCCCCGCCCCCACACCTGCCAAGTGTGGCCATGGGGCTAGAGGGCAGCAGGGGCCTGGCCTGACCCTGACCATGGCAGAGGCCACGGGTCCACCCCACAGTCTTCAGGGGCTCCCCGTCTCCCCGGGCAACGGCAGAAAGATCCCTGGGACCTCCCAGCTTGGTGGCAGTGACACCCCCATCCCCTGTTTCTTTAGGGGCACGTCTGAGGCACTGGACCTGCCCCAAGGACAAGGACCCGGCCTCCAGTGCTGTCCAGGAGCCTGGCCTCTGCTGCGAGCACGGTTGCAGGGGACACTCACCCCTGTCACTCACTGGCTGCCACCTGGCCGGGTGGCTCTGGGGCTCTGGGGCCCAGGTCTCCTTCCTTGCCACTGGGTGCTGGGTCTGTACATTGCGGAAGAGCTCAGAATTCCCAGGGCGGGTATCAAGGCCCTGAGGCCAAAGGCTGTGTGTGTGTGTGTGGGGGGACCTTACTGGGGAGACACCCCGCCCATCGGAGTTCCAATGGGGGGATGGTGGACAAGAGATTTCCATCCTGAGCTGCTTCTCTGACCAGTGGGGGATGGGCGGAAGGGTTCTCAACCCCAGCCCACCCAAACTGTCTTGCGGAACTCAACAGTCTGCCTGTCGGCCCCGAGTGTCCTAAAACCCCTCCAGGGTACAGAAGTACCTGTAGAGGGGTGGGGAGAGACCCCAGGAAGTGAGCAGGGGCATGCACCCCTCTGTCCTTTTGAGAGGGGAAGTGTCACACTCCCTCCCTGGCGGGTGCGGCTGCAGATGGACCCTCGCTCTGTCCCCACCTCCTGCTCCTCCATCCCTGCTGGCTACGTCCCCCAACTCCTGTGCTGGCCCCTTCTCATCAATCCTGACTTTCCCAAGTGGGGTGTGCAGGGGTCAGGTTGGGGGTCTTTTCCTGTGCTCATGCCTTGGGGGCCTCACGGGCCCCCCCTCTGCTGACAGCTCCACAGCTCTGTCCTGCACAGACCTTGCGGCCACGGCAGTAAGATTGTGTGTCCAGCATGGCGCTCCGGCCAGCCCACCAAGCGGGTCAGAGGGAAAGCCCGACACTCACGTCTCCCCCACCTGCTCCTCCGCCCCCAAATAACTGGCCAAGTGCCCCCGCACAGACCCACACCCCTTCCTGGCCCCTCCCTGTCTCTAGCTTCTTGGCATCTTGACAGCTGCCCACCCTGAGCCGTGGAGCCCCCAGCCCCATGATTCAATCACCTCCCTGACTAACCCTCCTGCCACGTCCCTGCACCCACAGCCTCCTCCAGGAAGCCCTGTCCCACCCGCGAGTCTCCCCGGGGGTCCCCCAGCTCCCCAAGAGCCCAAGTCCTCGTGGCCAAGCCTGAGGCAGGGTCAGCCCCTCTCTCCCCCGCTGATGAGCTGACTGTCTGGCTGTCCAGACTGACTGTGATCTCCAGGAGGCCAGGGCTACATCTGCCTTGAACCCTGCCGTGTCCAGTACCTAGAACAGTGGCCAGCACTGTTCCCACCTCATTGTTGGTGAGATGAATGAGCGTCCAGTACTGGCCGGAGAGCCACACTCAGAGCGGGAGCTGCCTCAGTTCCCAGCCGTGTCCCCGAGCACATCAAGGGCAACTTCGGCCGGGGCTGCCGCAGTTTCTGCTGCCCCGTCCATTTTGGGGGCCATGGGGGGAGGCCCGGAGGAGAGCCAGGGCTGCTTCTGGACAGAGCCAGGTTCTAAACAGCCCTGGGGGAGGGTGCAGGGAGGGACATAGTCCAGACCACCAGAGTAGGAACTGGCTCCAAAGGAGATGGGGTGCATGGGGCAGACAGACACCCAACTGACGCAGCCTCTGAGTGCACTGGAGCCCAACTCACAGACACCTGCTGGGCCCAGGGTCACCGGGAAAGTGGAAGGGACAGGATGGTGCCAGCAGGTGACTGGAGCTGGGCCAGCTGTCTCTTCCCTGGGGCAAGGTCCCTGAGTTGAGAAAGGCAGCCCTGGGCAGCTGACACAGTCCTCTGTCCACCTCTCTTCTCTGAGGTCTGTGATGCTCTCCCAGCATGGACCCAAGCTCATCCCTGGCCAGCGCGCAAAACTCAACCCAGACCAGAACAGTATTGGACGGCCACTGCACCGTGTCCAGATCTGGCTCCGAATCCACGTCTACCACCGGCAGCCATGCCAGCCAGCTTGCAGCCTCTTTCCATGTCTGTAAAATGGGTATTAAAAGCCCCATCTCACCAGGTGGGCACAAGAATCAAAGGAGGTGAGGGAGAGCTCCACTTGGGTCCTGCCAAAGCAAATCTCAGTGGCGTCTTTGTCTCTCAGCCCTGCCCCAGCCCCTCTGCCTTGGCTCACAGACCCTTCTCGGTCCCGCCGGCCACTCCACTCCTCAGCCTGGGATACTCCCGGAGCTTCTGGGAGGGCCTCTGTGGGCAAAGCCAGTTTAATTTAGCAGCTGCCAACAAATGGGAAGGATCAAGTGAGGTTTCAAGACCTCGAAAGCTCCCACAGACACTTTGCAGACATTTGTGCCTTTCACTAGGCTCCGCAAGGCAGGAGGTGGGGAAAAAGGGAGGCAGATGCATGCCCAGGGGCGGAGACTGGGGCAGGGAGGGCATTCAGGGTGTTGGGGGTGGGGGCAGTGCGACCCTGGACTCAGCCCCACCTGCCTTCCTTCACTGGTTCCCTTCCAGTCCAGGGCGACTGTCCCCGTGTCTGTTCTGCCAGGCCAGCACCAGTAACCCTGCCCGTGGAACCCTGCAAAGCTCTTCCGTCCAGTTTGGACCACCCCTGAGTGTCAGTCGGGGCAGGGATCTACCCCACACCCCAGTTCAGACCTCCGGGTCTGGGGGCTTCAGGGGGCTGGGTGGGCCCTCATGGCTGCCCTGGAGAAGGAAGCAAAGCTGGCATGTCCCCCTCCTCTGCTAGAAAGGACCCGCATCTTTTTCTGGGGGGTTGTGCCCGCTTGGCACTGCAGCTGCTCCAGCCGGGAGAGCCTCCTGACCCCAAAGCCCACGTGGACCTTCTCTCCCTGGCTAGGCACAGCACTGAGGTGAAATTCTGAGCAGTGGCCTGGCTGACCCCAGTGAGAGAGAGCCCTTTCTCCCTGCACCCAGCCCCAGAAGGCCCCCAGCTCCACGCCAGCCCAGCCCACAGGCTCCTGTCCTGGGCAGGAGGGGTGTCCTACCTGAGTCCCCCCTAGCTCCATGCTAACCCAACCCACAGGCTCCTGTGCCCAGGAGGAGGCAGTGGGGACCCGAGGGTGCTCCCTGAGTCCCCCAGCTCCATGCTAACCCAGCCCACAGGCTCCTGTGCCCAGGAGGAGGCAGTGGGGACCCGGGAGTGCCCCCCTGAGTCCTCCAGATCCATGTTAACCCAGCTCACAGGCTCCCATGCCCAGGAGGAGGCAGTGGGGACCTGGGGGTGCCCACCCCCGGAGCCCCCAGTTCTCCCCCATCTGGTTGCATGACCAGCTTCCACGACTAGGAAAGAGGAAGACAGGTGAGAACATCACGGCCCCTCATTCATCCCTCCTGTCCTTGAGACCCCAAAAAGGACCTCCGTGGAGGGTGGTGTGGACTGGCTCCCATCTGGGTGTTCCTGAGAAGTCAGTGCTGGTCAGTGGGAACAGAAGAAGGCACAGCACCAACACTTTCCTTTTGAGTCCCCACATCCCAGCCCGCTGTCCATCACTACATGCCCCCTCTGGGCAGGAGCGGGTCCTTCTCAGGGCAGGAAGTGGGGCCTGAGAGCTGGGCAGCAGCATCGGCGGGACCCCAGCCCAGGAGGCAGCTGCTTTGTCCGGGCTCCGTCTGTCCACCCCATCACCGGCCTCCCTGTCCCTGGCCGCTCGCCCAGCCCCCAGCAGCCCGCGCCAGACCTGCAGTTAATGGTGTGCCCGTGTCCACTCCCCCCTCCGTGCTTTCTGCCCCCTCTGCTCCCCACCGCTCACAGCTCAGCCGCGACGCCAACTGGGGGCCTGCCCAGCCCCCACACGTGTGGTCCTCGCCTGGACCCAACGCCTGACCAGAGTTTCTCGGGTAAGGAATCCAAGAGCAGGGTCCCCTCGGCCAAGAAAAGTAGTGGAGAGGCAGGAAGGGTCCAGGGTGGAAGAGTGCAGAAAAACTGGGGAGGGGGTTGTTTGCGGGCGGGGGGCGAGCTCCCCTGGGCTGATGCGGGGGGCGAGCCCCGGGGTGAAGCCGCCTCAGCACCCCGTGGAGACCCCAGCTCTGAGCGCGCAGGTGCTGGGCAGCTCCCCGCGCGGGTCCTGCGCGCCCGCCGCGTCCCGGCTCACCGACGATGATGGTGCAGGCGCTCACCAGCCCGATCTCCTTCTTGAGCGTCACCCGCTCCGGGGAGGCTCCGGGCCCGGGACCCGGGCCGGGGGAGGGCGAGGGCGCCGGGCCGGGGAGCCCGCGCCCGCTCGGCTGCTGCGAGTGGCCGGCCATGTCGCTGTCCCGCCGCGTGCCCGCTCCCTGCGCTGCCCCGTCGGTCCGCCCTGCAGCCGCTCCGTCGGCCCGTCCGTCGGTCGGTGCGCGCCGCTCTGGCCGCCCCGGACAGCGCCCACCGGCGGGCGCATGCGCTGGCGCGCGGCCCGGTCCGGCCCGGGGGCAGCGGGGGCCCCCGGAGCGGCGGAAGGAGGCCCGGGCAGCCCCTCCTGGCCGCCCTTAAAGGGGACTCCCCGCCCCCACGCGGCCGCAGCGAGGGCGCATTGGGCAGGTGGAGGATTTCCCAGCGCGGGGGGCCCCCGTTACCTCTCCGCGCGGGGTGCGCGTGGGACCCTCCCTCCCTGGCCCGCGCCCACCTGGCTGCCCCGTGTCCGGCCCCGACTGGACAGTGATGTATGTATTTTCATCTACATTGATTGATTGATTGATGGGGAGGGTCCTCTGAGTGGTCAGGGCACCCTAATTAGCTCCCACCGTCCAAAGTCTGGGGAGACTGAAGATTCTGGGACCCCGACCCTCACCCGCGGGGGTCGCACTGCTTCTTCTCTCGCTCAGCGCGTCCACGCGCAGGGTCCATGTGCCGCTGGCCACCACAGGTCAGAGTCGGGGCTCAGTGGACTTGCACGCGGGTCTTCGGACGTGGCCTAAGAGGCGCATGACCCCCTGCCCCCCATGTCCCCCATCCTCCGCCCAGCATGCCCGGGAGGTCCAGGGAAGGTCACAGTAGGAGGTCGGGTGTGCCAGGGCCTTGGGAGGGCCGCCTCCTCCCGGAAGCTGCCCGGATTGCGCCGGCCCGCACAGCCGACACAAGGAGGGTGGTGGTGGGGGCCGCGGCGGGGGCCACCGGGGCTGCGGGCGGGGCGAGCCTGGCGCGGGGCGGCGGCGGCGGCGGCGGAACAGCCTTTGTCCCTTCCTGGCGGCCGCCGCACCGCGCCGTCCCCTGCATGTGGATGAGGCGCCCTGAGCTGCGCGCGCCCCCCTGCCGGCGGCCCTGGACTTGCAAGGGGGCCCTGGGCCGGCGGGGCCCGCGCGGGGCGGGGTGGTCTGGGGTCTGCGCCCCAGCGGCTGCCTGGAGAGACCTCTGGACGGGGGCGGGGACTAGAGGACCCCCGGGGAGGGTGGGGGCTGGCGGGGGGTAGGAGGCCGCGGGCAGGGGCGCCGCGTCCCTCGAGCCCGTGTCCAGCATTCTTGGCGCCCACCGCCTCCCGCCCCAGAGATTACAGCCACCAAGCTCTTAAAGGAGCCCGAGACGCGAGCTCCGGAGACCCGGGAGGCGGGTGTCTTAGGTCCCGACAGACTTTCTAGTTCCACTCTTCCCACCCCGTTGTTTGCCTTTGCAAGACTGGGGTCTGCTGGGTGGGCGACCGCGCCGGGTCGCTGCACTCCGGGCCGGGGACTAGTGGTTGCCAGACTCGGCCTCTCCCGGGACCTGAAACTCCAGCGGAGTTTCTGCTGGAGAAGGTGACTGGAGACCAGGGCTGCGCGGAACGAAATTTGCATCCTGATGCCCAGGTCCAGAGCGCTCAGAAGAGATGGTGCTAGAATCCCCAACCCCCAAGGGGAGCAAAGCGGCGGTAAGACTGGTTTACTCTCCAAAATGTCAATAAGTGGGGCTGGAGTCATAGCACGGCGGACAGGGCGTTTGCCTTGCATGCGGCTGACCTGGGTTCCATTCCCTGAGCACCGCCAGGGGTGATTCCTGAGTGTAGAGCCAGGAGTAACCCCTGTGCATCGCCGGTGTGACTATTCCCCCCAAATGAAAACCAAAATGTCAATACGTTTATTAAAGTCAACCAATAAGTTTCCTTTATTAACAACAGGGGAAAGGGAAATTCTCACAAATTCGGGAAACAGTCACCCGTGACTTAAACCAACAAAAACTGCCAGCTAATTAGAAGCCGGAGAGCATTTCCTTAAGCTCCTGAAAATATTCAACCCAACCCTCCAAGAGACAAAGGAACCTACAACTAACTTCAAGTTCAGTGGAGGAACACGGGGTGTTTTTTTCCCCTGCAAAGACTGGACTGGGAGGGAAAGCAAACATGGACAGTCTGCACACATGGGCGCTGGAGGTTCTTGCCAGTGTGATAAGGCAAGAAAAATAAATAAGAGCAGGCCTATGAGTGAAACATGTGGGATGCAGTTTCTGACCCAAATGCTCTTCTCAGGGGAGCTGGACATGCAGAGGGGCTTGGCGCCTAGGAAGGTCTCTGGTGCTTGCCAACAAAACAGATGGCACAGGGAGCAATTAATTACATACCTTGGTATTTACCCACGGCATTGAAAATGACTCCCCAAACCCTGCACAGGGATGCTGATGACAGCTTCACTAATAATTGCTGGCAGTAGCTAAGTTGTTCTTCAGTAACTGCACAGGTAAATAAACTGGTGTCACTTGCAGACAAAAATCATAATTGGGTGCTGAGAGAAGTTATCAAATCAAGTCAGATGGAGGACACTTTAGTGCATGTCACTAAGTGAGGGAAACAGATCTGCAAAGGAGTCAAAATGTCTGCCCATGGGGAGGCACAAGGACAGCTCACACAGGACACCGTCTGGGGGAACTACACCCCAATTTCTTAAAGTTCACACGTGCACTTAGATGTCTCTGGAGACAAGTCTGATTTCAAAAACTAAATTGCACTTGTATGTGCCAGTGGTCAACAGAACATGGCAATTGTAATAGGGAAATAAAAGTAAAAGTAAAGGCCCTCCCGTTGATCATCGATTTGCTTGAGCGGGCCCAGTAACGTCTCTATTGGACACTTTGTTGTTACTGTGTTTGGCATATCAAATACGTCACGGGGAGCTTGCCAGGCTCTGCCGTGCGGGCGAGATACTCTCGGTAGCTTGCCGGCTCTCCGAGAGGGATGGAGGAATGTGAGGGCGATCTGGCTGCAACATCTGTCACCCCATTGATCGCCAGGGTTGATTCAGCTGATCTGGCTGGCTAGGCGGGTGTCCCCTTCCTCCCTCACCGCTCCATGTGCGTCCCTCCCGAAGCTGTGCGCTCGGTTGAAGAGGATGGCCTTCCCCGCATAGAGACGGACCGATCTTTGGTCTTCGGTCGAGGGTATACGAGTAGCTGCGCTCCCCTGCTAGAACCTCCAAACAAACTCTCAAGGGAAATAAAAGACCTAAGAATAAATTTAGTGAATTATGCCTACAATTTCTACACAGAAAACTAGAGAAGCTTTACTGAAACAATGGAAACAACATCAGTTCTAGAATGTTCTGTACTTGAGGATTGGAATTACGTAGGTTTTCTCCAAACCAATCTGTAGCTCCAATACAGTCTCAGTCAAAGTTCTAGAAGCTCACTATAGTCTCAGGCAAAGTTCTAGAAGGGTTGGATATTGTGAAAGCTGATGTTTAAGTGCCTTTGAAGATGAAAAGTTGACCTAGACATTGGGGTAAAGCAAGGTACAGGGGCTGGAGTGATAGTACAGTGGGGAGGGTGTTTGCCTTGCATGCAGACAACCCAGGTTTGATCCCTGGCATCCCATATGCTCCCCTGAGCACTGCCAGGAGAAATTCTTGAGTGCAGAGCCAGGAGAGAGCCCTGAGCATCTGAGCATTGCTTGGTGTGACTCCAAAACCAAAAAGCCAAATAGATAAATAAATAAATAAATAAATAAATAAAAGAAGGATACAGAAGTTGACTATTGGTAATGAAGAAAATGGAGAAGCAGATCATCTATACAAAACCTCTTGAATTATCACTACAAGCTGACATGGCAGAGAAAGGATGAATGCCTCAAGAAATGGTGCAGATATGTCTGTACTTTTAAAGTTACAGATGCTCCATCTCTACCTTATAGCCTCCCCTAAACCAATTCCAGATGGATGCAAGTGTAAAAAGTAAATCACCAAAGGGCTACAAGATTTAGGGCAGAGGATTGAGGAGAGTTTAATTTTCTTAAACAGGCCACACAAAGCCCTGCTCATTTCTTTATTTTATTTATGTATTTTATTATTATTTTTAAATAGATTTATTTTTTAGTGGAGACAAAACCCCCCCATTGTTGATACAATTCTAGAGTCGAAATTGATTTATATAACGAAGTTCCAAAATTAAAATCAATAAGTTTTTGAAAAAAATCCATTTTTAATGTGAAAATTGTTCTATCTCACCAGAAGGTTGTTCAGCTCTTGTCCATGAATGATTGCTCAGCAGTTTGTCGCTAGTGGAGCCTTCAGTGTTACTGTTTCTGTTCTATGAGTGTAGTTGGTTTCTATGTTACTTTCCCTTCTAATTTGGTGTGCACCTACTGGAATTTCAGTACTGAGAATTAGGAGGTGTCCAGAGATTTTGGGGTCTGTGGTTGGGGCCAATGAGTTGATATGGTGGTGGCTATGGAAGGTGGGTGTGGTTGCCGGACCATCTGGAAGTCTGGGCGTGGGGGAAGGCTGCCCACCTTGGAGAAGACCTCAGAGTTCTCAGCCTGGGCACCAGGTACCTGGATCATTCACGGGATATTTGTGCAGCGGTGGAATTGAGCCCTTGGCATGGCTGCAGCGGTGGGGATGAGGGCAGCTGCCTGGACTTGGGCAGGGTTGACACTCTGCCCAGCCGATTCCCCAGCACGCCCCAGAGTAATTCCTTTCAAAGTGACAACCTAGAGCTATGTTCAAGTGAGAAATTCCTGTTAATGCAAAGATCCGATGAAGGGAGAGAAAGGAAACTGCCTCAATGCCTGTCTGATAAAGGACTTGACTCCTAAGTAATGAAAATGACCACAGATCAACAGCAAAAGGACTCGGCACCTCCCAGGGGCTGAAGCCCTCACCTCCGGGGACAGGTAGTCCTCTCCCTCCTCAAATAAAAGTAGAATGACACAGGGCTGTGCAGCTCCACCACCATTTACGTTAAATAGTTGCTACTGGCAGGCTGGGAGCTAGCCTGGAGGCGGGTGTGCCTGACACCTAACAGAGCACTGCCTGACTTCCAGTGCCCCATCCTTTCTGTTCTGGACCAGACACCAGCTGGGGACCATTGCAGACCCTCCCATCTCTCCTCGATATGGACCCCTGGACTGCTTTCCCACTTCCCATGCAACTCATCACCCCAGGGGCTTCTCTGCTACCATAAGGTATGTGATGATGGGGACTGAC